AGCTAGAACCAAATGGGATGAAATTGATGGTTACTAGTGGTTGATGAGTACCCAAACTTTCTGGATTCTTTGCTATTGAGAAGCAAGGGGAATAGATGGAGCGGTAGGAAGAGAAAGAACGAGAATGAATGAGAATGGAGCAAGAGAAAGAAAGGAAAGAGAAGGGAGGAAGAAAAAGAAGGAAGAAGTGAGGAAAAGCAGTGACCAAACGGTGGTGATGGAGTTGCTGCCAGCGTCGGTGCTGGAGAAGACATGGGAACCCAGATTTGGGTTCTCCAAGTGTTAGCTGGAGCAAAAAAAAAAAAAAATTCAGATCTGATAAAAAAGGAAAAAAAAAAAGCTAGAACCAAATGGGATGAAATTGATGGTTACTAGTGGTTGATGAGTACCCAAATTTTCTGGATTCTTTGCTATTGAGAAGCAAGGGGAATAGATGGAGCGGTAGGAAGAGAAAGAGGAAGAAAGGGATGGGTGCGTTTGGGCGTTAACGACAAAATAACGGAGATGGGTGTGTATAATGGAGGGTGTAACGGAGGAGGGTAAACGTAGCTTTATCCCTCGGGCAAATTGCCTCCTAAATTAGAGTTGTAGCTTAAATCAAGAAACTGGAGAGATGGAAGCTGAAAAACTTGGCTTGGAAAGGTTCCTTGCAAACTACAACCTCTAAGGCTCAAATGCTCCAAGGAAGAAGTCAAGTTTAGCAAGGTAGAAGGTACAACCAGAGACATATTCACATAATCAAGGATAAGAAACCTTAACTCTGTTAAATTATGCGCAAGCATTTGAAACTTTATGTTGTCAAGAAGCAAACCATAATAATTAGAGAGATCGAGCGAAACCAATTTTGGTAGCAAGAAGATCTCATCAAACAAGAAAGAGCCATTCATGTATCCTGAACCTGCAAGGTTAAAGATTTGTCACATTAGAAGAAGTGAAACCAGTTTTGGAAGCATGGAGATTTTAAACAAAAGAAAAAGGAATGAAATCTCATACGTGAAAGATTAAGATAGGTCAAACTCTTCCAACGGTCGAACCCAAAAGAGAGATTGGGGTAGCGAAAATAGTTGTAAGCAAGGTTGAGGCTCTGCAATTTCTCAAGGCGGAAGAGACTACTATTTGTAGTTAGATTGGCTTCAAGACAATTACTGCTAAGATCAAGGCCAATCACGTGACCATTCCGCTTGTCGCATGCGATGCCTTCCCACGAGCAGCAGTCTTTACTCTCATTCCAAGTTTGTATTATAGGACGAGGAGTACAAAACCAGTTGTCCACCAAATTAGTGGTGCTTTTGAAATCAAGCAATGCAGAACGCTCTTCAGGACGGCACAAATGTGGTGATGAATCGAGAGAAGATTGAGAAGGTGATGAGCTTTGGACTCGAAACTGTAACAACATGAAGGAAAGGCAGAGGATTTGGGAAAACCATATTAAGCTTCCCATTTTCTTAAAGATGAACACAATTCACCAAACAAAGGAGTGATGGATTATTCAAAATTGAAGGGCTGGATCCCTGTATTTATAGTCTTTACTAAAGTGCAAAATAAATACCTAATAAAATTTTAAAAATCTTAAATAAATACCAAAACATAAATGATCTTAAATAAATATCAAAACATAAATGATCTCACATTTCAGTTCAAATAGTATACTAATCGTTGGATTTGAGGAGCCATGCGCAGAGCGTAAAAAATCAAATATTTTAAAAGTAAATATGGGCTTTTTGAATCCAT